TAAAGAACCCTGCCTAACAATACCCTACGTATGTGTGACTAGAAATGCAGAGAGCTGTGTAACTAAATTTCATCCAACTATTATGCAGATGTTTACAGAGTACCAGGCCAGTTAGATGGCTCAGTGGATAAAGGCTCACTAGCTAGGTGAGCTGAGTGCAAATCCCTGGGACCCACATTGTGGAAGGAAAGAACACACACACACACACACACACACACACACACACACACACACACAATTAAAAGTTAACTAATGTACAAAAGAAAAAGATTTACAGAATTAAAGGCATGTATGGCCAGTGCATACAAAATGACCATCAAGGGTCCACTTTTATACAATATGCATTGTGTGTGAACCATCAATGTAAAATTAGCCAATAAAAATCTTTCAACTGCTGCTTGTAATCATCACCATCAGATGAAAGACTTTCCATTCGGGCAGTTCTATTTAAAACCTATCTATATCCACTTTCCTGGACCAAAGAGGCATTTTCTTATTGTATATATGAGACATACTTGTACATCAGAAAATGAGGATTCTAAATATACATCCAACATAGAGGCTAGATGAACATATAAAGAACTTGTTTGTAGCTATGATGTCAATTGCTGGGGGGCTCCTTTGTCTGTAAAATGTGTTTATGTTCCTCAAATATATAAACCATCAAAAGCGCAAAGTGTAGAACTCCTTACCAAGCTGGTATCCTCCAGCTGCAACAGTTATGGTGCTAACCTTTCCCAGGTTGCTCTGTAGATAGAGAAAGCCAAGTCACTAAAGTGACCTCAGCTTGTCCTCTCCCTGCCCCAAACCTCTATCCCCAATGACTTCAAACAGCTGCACATCCCCAATCCTGTGAACCAAGCAGACCCCCTACATCTTGGGGACTGCCCAGGCAAAGGCTGGGACTACCAATATCACATCACCATTTGTTAACTTATTATAGGCAAAGTGCTGTCTCTACCCTACACGCCTACAGGTAGCATGTGCCAGAAATCTGATTCAGTTCCATGGTGCCACAGAAAGCAGAGTTTCCACTCTTCTGCTGTTTCTCCCCCTCCTAATGAAGAAGATGTGATGCAGGGAGGCTAAGCCAGTGGCTTCAAGGCACAGCACTCAAAAGACACACATGGCTAACTCAGGAAATGAAAAATCTTATTCCAATCAATTAGACAAAAGCTGTGTGGCTAGAGCTGAACTTTGTGAAACCCTTGAAGTGGTGTATGAAAATCCAGTAGCTGAGGGGAGAAGGAAGGTAGAGCAGATCGAGAGACATGAGACTGGAAACCCACACATGCACACATGTGTGCACACGAACACACAGTATGAGAAAATTCACGGACTTTTGAGCAGAGGTTTGTGGGTAATAGGACTAGCACACTCCCAGGCACTCAGGGAAGTCTTCTGAACAGTGACCTTCCCTGCTGCTTCATGGGCTCCCAGAGTACAGTGCCCACTCTTTGAGCGGGAGCCTGGCTCCCTTGCCGCCCATCTTGCTCCATGAGCATGGAGTTTCCTAGGGAAACATTTTGTTCCGTGCAAAATTTCAGACTTTTGCCAATGCTTTAGAAAATCTTTAGATGGAAATACACTTTCCATCCAACATTCCCTGAACCAGGGATTCAGGAACACCTTGGCCACCAGGAAGCTTCTAGAATCTCCCTTTAATGTAGGACAGGGTAGTTAAATCACTGGGAAGAAGTTAGTCTTTAATGACTAGAGCTAGGTAAGATTTTTAAAGTTATTTCATTTTCAAGCAAAATGACCACACTTCTCAAATATTCCTGCAAAGAGGCACCAGCTTCATTGTATGAATTTTGTGTTGAGGGGATGTGCTTCCTTCCTTTTGGAGTAGAAGTTGATTAACTCCTACTCTCCCCTCATCTTTCCTTCCTCTTCCCCTCCCTCCTATCCTCTCCCATTGTTTTGTGGGATTGGGGGTCAAGCTCAGGCCTTCACACATACTAGATCCAATGGTTAGTCAACATTATCCACCTTGACTAGGTTTAGAAACATCATAGAAAACACATCTCTAGGTGCGTCTGTGAGAATGTCTCCAGAAAGGCTTAACTGGCGGGTGGAAGACACACCATGAATGTGGATGGCGCCATGAACGGGCTGCGGGTCTCAGACTGAATAAAAAAGGAGAAAGTGAGGGCTGGGAGATGGCACACTTGGAATTAATTATGATTCACAGGAGTCAGGGCTAGGTGAAAGAACCGTGGGGTGGGAGTCACCCAGCGCTGGAGAGTGGAAGCAGAAGGTCAGTCTAGCCAAGCGATGAACTTCAAGTTCAGTGAGAGACCTTGTCTCAAAAGGGATGGAGTAGAGAGCAATAGAAGACGACATCCGATGTCAACCTCTGGCTTCCACATATGTGAGTACAACCATAGGGACACGCACGCCTATGCATAGACCACACACGAGCACAAAGAGGGAGCCAGTAGGCCGAGGCCAGCGTTCATCTTTTCTGCTTCCTGATTATAGACACAATGTGATACAATGTGAACAGCTGCCCCCCAGAAAAGAGAGAAGTAACTGACGCACCAGGCAAGTGCTCTGCCACTGAGCAGCACCCAGGTCCTAGTAAACACACTCTTAAATACTTAGTAACTTCGTTAGTGTTAACCTTTCCTTCAAAATAAACATTAATTTTTTGTTAGTTTTTGTTTGTTTGTTTTTTTGTTTTTTTGTTTTTCGAGACAGGGTTTCTCTGTGTAGTTTTGGTGCCTGTTGCTCTGTAGACCAGGCTGGCCTTGAACTCATAGAGATCCTCCTAGCTTTGCCTCCTAAGTGCTGGGATTAAAGGTGTGCACCACCACTGCCCAGCTTTAATATTTTTTTTATTTCTCATTTAGTCCAGACTGGCCTTGAAGCTTCTACAAGGCTAAAGATAACCTTGAACTCCCAATTCTCTTTCTTCATGTCCTAAGTACTGAGATTTCAGTAGTCAACTATACCACACCCATATTGAAATAACAACAAAAATTCTAACAAAAATTTTAACCAACGAAAATTCTAACAACGAACAAAAATGTATTTTAACTTCACTTATATTTATAAAATAAAATGTTTCCTGGGGGTTGGAGAGATGGCTCAGCAGTTAACAGCCCTGGCTGCTCTTCCATGGGATCCAGGGTTGATCTCCAACACCCACATGGCGGTTCATAACCCTCTGTAACTCTGATTCTAGGGGATCCCATGGCCTCTTCTGGCTTCCGAGGGCACCAGGTACACAGGTGATGGGTGCATAGACACACATGCCAGCAAAACACCCATACTCATAATAAATAAATAAATAAATAAATATTTTTAAGTGTTTCTTATGGGCTAAAAAATAGCTCAGTATTAGAGATACTGGCTGGCTAATTTATAAACCTAATATGTATGAAACCCTGGGTTTTAAAATAAAACAAAATATAAATAAACAACAAATAAATAAACAAATAAAAACCCAGGTTTCATCCCCACAACAACAAAAATGTTTGCTGGTTTTTGTTGTTGTTGTTGTTGTTTTGTATTTTGAGACAGGCTCTCTCTGTGGTGACTCCCTGGGTTTTCTGGAACGCACTACGTAGACCAGACTGGCCTAGAAATCACAGACAGTGCTAGGATTTTAGGTGTGTGCCACCACACAGCCCTTGTTTGCTGTTTTAAATGGCAATCATCACTAAGCTGTTAACTGTTTTGTGAATTAAAAATCTCGACATATAGCTTTAAAAATAGTAAGCAGGGTTGACATGCTTTCTCTAAAGGGTCAGAGAGTAAATGGTTTACACTTTGCATCTACTTAACTCTCCTGTAGTGCAGAAGAGCATCCACAGAATGAGGTCATGGCTCTGTTCCAGTAAATATGTGTGGAAGGTGAAGTTTGAATTCCACATAATCCTTTGTTTGTTGGGTTGGTTTTGTTTTTAACCCAGCTCTCATTCTGCTGGCCTCCAACAAGCTGTGATCATCCTACTTAAGCTTCTAGAGTCCTGGAATTCCAAGGATGAACTACCATACTCGGCCTTGTTTTTTGCTTTGTATAGTTTTTCTAGGCTGCCAAGGCTGGTCTCAAACTCTTGACAATCCTGTTTTAGCCTCCTAAATGCTGGGATTATAGGTGTGTGCCACTATATCTGGCTTTAATATAATTTTCATGCCACAAAATAATAATCCTTTAAAATTAAAATAAGACTTTAAACACGTAGAAATCATTTCTAGGTCTCTGGTTCCATGAAAACACACTTTGGGCATTGTTTGATCTTTGGTAATTGCGCTGACCCATCTGTAGGACCATGAAAACATCTCCCCTTAAATTTAGTCTACTCCAAACTCATTATGCTAGTCACGTGCTAGAAAATAGGACACTTTGAAAAATAATTTTCAAAAGAAAGTAAGTTACCGGGGGAAGAGCGGGAAGAAAGGAACTGAGTCTTCCTTCACCCAGAGTGCGCCCCCACTCAGACCTGGACACATCTCAGCATATGGGGCGGTCCACAGTGAGTGAAGGTCCCCACACCCGCGCCTAGGGGGTTGCTGTGCAGAGTGCCCCATTTGATTCTAAGCAGCAGGAGCAGAGTGTGCTTTGTTACCATCAAGTTCCCACTCGTCCTTATGCCTCTGAGAAGAGAAAGAAGCCACCTGTCCAGCCCCCAACCCCTGTGCTTGGAGCGCAGCCTGCGAGAGCCCAGCTTCTCTGACTACTAATGGCCCAGAGAGTGGGACAGCTATTACGAGCTCGAACTGCACAAAAGGGTTTGGGACGAATGTGATGGGTTCCTGCAGCTCCCAGCCAAGGCCTTTGGCATTTTAATTCGTCCAGCATTTTACCAAGACAAGGGACAGAGCACTTTTTGTACATGTTGAGGATCTCTTTTCCCAGTGTGGAGAACTTGGGCTCTTCCACATCAAGAGAAAGCATGTCAATGCTGTGTCATCAGCTGAGCACCCCCGATCGCCAAGGCCTCCCCAAACCCAAACCCTCAGAAGGTGAAACATGAAGCACAGAGGGAAAGTATGTGCACGTGGCCTTTACTTTTTAAAAGGACATTTGTATCCAGTCACAGAAGAAAAGAGCGTTGTGTCTGGGCAGACGTTTCCAGATCCCAGAGAAAAGGAAAGGCTGATGGGCACCCACCAAGCCTTCTGAGAATCAAGCCTCGGTTGTGAAGGTTCCCTCCTGGAGGTGGGGGTGCCTGTCTTTGCCTGCAGGTTTTCATCAAGCTGGAAGGACCACATCTCACATTAGAAACAAATCCCCAAGGACACAGGTCCTGACTCAGGGATCCACAGCCCCTTTCTTGGAGAGAACCCCTGCGTGGAGGACTGGGGTGTCCCTTAGTCCATTGCAGGCTGGGAATTCTAGAAGGCAAGTAGGAAGGTCAGTCGAAAGAGGGTCAGAGCATTGCCAGACCCTCTGTGCTTGCTGGTGCGTTCATCTACGCTGCGAGTTGATGGTTTATTTAACGCTTTGCTCCTTTCTCTCCAAGCTTGGTTAATGCGACGCTCAGCTAAGGTTCCTCAAGAGCTCTTGATGGAACTTCACGTGCTGGTCAACCTCTCTCCATGTCTCAAACAAAGCTCCAGGGCTCAGAGTGGATCTGTGGAGCACACATAGCGCAAGGTGTAGTTGGCCCCCTCATTGTTATCCCAGTATTCGCCCTGTTCGCAGCAGTAGCAGACGGCAAAATGGATAGCGACGTCCCATGTGTCAGCGTCCTCCCCTTTGGGTTGCAGACCTGGGGGCAGGCACAGCGAGAAGCAGAAACGCTCGGTGACCGGCTCCTCCTCTCTATCCTCAGCCCCTGGTCCAGAGGGCCCCGACGGCACAGGAGGCAGCTGCTCCGGTGACTCAGGATGCAGCTCAGCCGGCACGTCCAGAAAGGTGCGCCACTCGGTGAAGGTGTAGCGCACTGACACTGCCCTAGGTCCGGGGCAGCTGATCACCCGGCCCGAGCCGGTCACCTCGGCGCGGGGCGGCTGGGAGCATTGCACGCTTTCTAGACACACTCGCTGTCGCCGGAGACGCTCCTCCGCAGCGCTCAGCCCTGGGAGCTGGAAGAGGGGTCGGAGCTGGATCCGCGGCACCCAGAGGGGCACAGGCACCTTTGCTACCGTCAGTAGCCCCCCGACCTGCTTCAGGTCCTCGGCGCTCAGCGGGAAGCTGCGGAGACGGGAGAGCACAGCGGGCGGTACCTGCGGCTCCTCCGCCTCGCTGAAGTGCTTCACGCTGGCCAAGCTCAGCCCCAGCGAGTCCGCGAACTGCACGTGCTTCTTGCACTTGGCGCAGCAGTCCACGGCCGGCTCGCCACACTCCGCGCCGGGCTGTCCCTCCAGCTGCTGCTGTTGCAGGAGCTTGGCTGCCTGCAGGATGGGGTCCGCCGGTAAAGAGAAGGAGCGCGCACGAGGGCGGCGATATTCCTGCAGCTCCTCCTGCTCCGAGAGAGCCGCCTCTTCCTGCTGCGACAGGGGCCTGTCCTGGAGCTGAGTGTCAGGGATCGGGGTCTCCGAGGTGCCACCCTCCACGCAGAGGACCTCGGGGACCGACAGCCTCTCCGTGGGCGGAGGGTCTCCGGAAAGCGTGGAGCTGGGCGCCTCGGAACTTTGCTGCTGCTCCCTGGATGGCTCCATGATACCATCCAGCCCCGGGACTAGTCCCGCAGCAAACGCAGTTCTGGAAACTTATCTACTCCAGCAGCAGAAGGAGCGCATAACGCCGGCTGGGCTCGCCCTTCCTGGCAGTTTAGCCAGGCTGGAGAGCAGAAAGCAGATTCAGCCTAGAACCTCCAGCTTTTAGCTGCCCCGGACCGAGAGGGAGGAGGATGCTGGCCTAAGGCAAGATACCAAGGGGAGGGCCAGGGGCGGGGAGGCGCGGCTTCTGGAATACCTGGGAACGAGGTCCCGAATGGAAATTAAAACTTTCTGAAGGTCGCGGGCTGGCTGATAGCCTTGATCCTCCCGGTGGCAGTGTTGCGTCTGTCCCACCTCTAGGGCAGCTCGCAACTTTCAGAGCCAAGAGTGGAGACAAAGTTTTCCAGTCAGTGAAGTTACTCTTCCAAAGAAGTGTTTTCGCCTCGCTGTGACATGCCGGCTGCCACCGTCCTAGGAAGTTCGCGATGCAAGCCTGTCATTGAGGCTAGCAAGCTAGCTGAGTGCATCCCTTCTCTTTCAAAGCCTTTCTCCCCCAAACCTCGGGGGTCCCCGGGTCGCATCTGCATCCATGCAGCTGCCCCTTAGTGCTCCTAAAGGCTGGGAGCTGCAGCCTCCACCTACCTAGCCGTTGACTTTGCCGGTGGGCTTGTGACGGGACAGAGAAAGAACCCACCAGCTGACACGGAGGCCAGCTCAGTGCAGCCGGAGGCCATTCGCGCCTGGCACTAAAGCACGTCTCCGGTCCTCCCCTTGTCCCGCCCGCAGATCTGGGTGGCGAAGAAGGGGCTTGGCACCTCCCACCGCCTCTGAGCGCCTTCCCCCCGCCGGCAATGCATCCTCCTCGCCTGCTGGTACTGCTGGTTTCCTCCCCGAGGATCCCAGACCAGTGTAATACAGCTCAGGCCTTGTCGGGGGGTGGGGCCAAAGCCCAATCGCTGGAAGAGAGATGGGGGAGCACTCCATTCTATTCTGGCATTGGAGACTTGCTAAAGTGTTGTGCTGTACTTTCGTCTTCAGGCCAGTTTGCCTTGATCAAACGTCAACTGATAACCCCATGACCAATCGTCACACCCACCCCTCATCCCCCTACCCCCATATCTGATTCAGGGGGTCGCACGCGGTGCCTGAGAGGATTTCTAACAGGGAGATGCTGAGGCTAGGCTCTGAGGATCACAATTTAGGAATGAATAACCACTTGACATGGTTGTGTGTACAATTACTTACATAAAAAGTTGGGCTGGGCAATGGTGGCGCACACTTTTTATCCCAGCACTTGGGAGGCAGAGGCAGGCAGATCTTGAGTTCAAGGCCAGCCTGTTCTACAGAGCTAGTTTCAGGACAGCCAAGGCTACACAGAGAAACCCTGTCTGGAAAAACCAAACCAACCAACCAACCAAACAAACAAACAAACAAAAACAAAACAGAAAAAATAAAGTTGGGGCTTCTAGAAACATTGATCAAGGGAAAAGGGGGGGGGGCAAAGCTATCTTACCCAGGCCTTTCAACTGAGGCTTAATCCCTGAGCAGAATGTGATGTTCCCAGGACTTTGGGCATATTAGGAAGAGGGAAAGGATCATATTCATAGCTAGTATCTATTGAGGACTCAGAGGCTGCCCATCCCTCCACAGGACTGAGGGTCCTTCCTGTGTGATCTTATCCACACAAAACTCTGTGAAGTAGGAATCCTACTCTGCATGTAGCACATAAAGGCTAGGAAGGGGCTGTCTGTCCAGGCCCCACAGCTGGGCCATAGTCAGGTTTGACCCCAGGCAATTAAGAAATGTTGTCTATAGACAAGGAGCCTGAGCTGAGGAGGTATTTTGAGGAAGGGGCCCTGGTGGTCCCTTAGCTGGGCTCTTGTGATAATTAAGTGCCCAGTGTAGAACTCTTAACTACATCTCAACTTGGGCCTGGAGCTCACAAGAAAATCCAGATCCACCTAGAGTGCCCCTCCCCCCACGCATCTTCAAGGTCTAGGACAGAGGGCAATGTTTTTACATGTAAATTGGCATTGTTATGTTGTGATACTAATGCTGTGCGATGGTCTATATGTCAAATTACTCTGATTGGTCAATAAATAAAACACTGATTGGCCAGTGGCTAGGCAGGAAGTATAGGCGGGACTAATAGAGAGGAGAAAAGAAAGAACAGGAAGGTGGAAGGAGACACTGCCAGCCACCGCCAGGACAAGCAGCATGTAAAGATGCCGGTAAGCCACAAGCCACGTGGTAAGGTATAGATTAATAGAAATGGGTTAATTTAAGATATAAGAACAGTTAGCAAAAAGCCTGCCACGGCCATACAGTTTGTAAGCAATATAAGTCTCTGTGTTTACTTCGTGGGTCTGAGCGGCTGTGGGACTGGCGGGTGACAAAGATTTGTCCTGACTGTGGGCAAGGCAGGAAAACTCTAGCTACATACTAAGTCTTCACAAACTAGTTTAAAGGTGGAATAGGAACTTCAAAGAGATTTTGAGGTTGGAGTGAACTGTGTCACTTTTGCAGGGACAGATTGAGTTTGGGCTCTTCCTCACATCAAACAGTGCCTTGTCTAAAGCCAATGCTTTGATTCTCGAATGGGCATCCAACAGTACAAGACACTGCCTACCTGGAGTTAGTGTCGGAACCACAAATTAAAGGCTCAGTTTAGGAACTCCAGCCTCACTCCCCTTCCTGGAGGTCAGCTTCCAATCTTTCTGGTTCTTTCTGGTAACCAACTAGTCTGGTTGTCTAGGAGACCCAGTTGAAGTGATCTCATTAGCATAAACTCAGGTGTTACCAAAAGGAGCTTTTCATAAATATTTGGTTATAACAAACATATAATCAATGACCAATCCCTCTTCACTTAGAGCTGAGTCTTAGGAGGTCTATACTAGCAAGTGGGGCAAAGAGCAAATTTACCTGCTACTGACCCAGGCCCCTTTGCCCTGGTGCAGGATGTTGGTCATTGAAATAATGAGTTTTGCAAAAGAGAGTATATTCATAGTTTGGGCAGGTCTCAAATCCATTTCCCAGAGAACAGGGTAGAGGGCAGTTTTGGCTATGGCAGAGGGATTTGAGATTTGGGGAAAGGTGACTGGAGGTGATATAGTGTATGGTTGATCCTCACAAGACACATACATGTTCAGAATATAAGATATCAACCTTTTCTGCAAATAGAAATTTTGGTCCTGTGACATCAAGAAGCCCACATTAAAAAGTCAATGAGTTCAAAAAAAGTGACCTTTTATTCCCTGAAAAATAACCTAGGCAACATGACCTACACATCAGAGGTGTTATCCATAGCAAAGCTACCAGGAGACTAATATGTTGCTTAGATACCTGACCTCCAAATTTTGTGCCTTTTGAAGTCACCTAAAAGCAAGTGAGGCAAGAGGGTGGATCTCCCCTCAGCTTTGCATGTTTTCATTATAATACTGCAGTAGGTCTACAGCTCAATAGGTCTGGACTGAGCTTTGAGGAACTCTGATGAGTATAAGCAGAAGGGTGTAACCTGCGGAGGGGATGGAGATGAGCAGGAAGCAAGAAAGGGCTGTTCCCCAGAAACCAAGCAAAGACCTTAGAAGCAAGGGCAGTGAGCACCTTACTCATCCATTATGGGGACTTGGGGACACTCTGAAAGACTCAGTCTGTCTCTGGCTTCCACTGCACATCTGTCCTCTGGCAAAGCTGGTGGGCCACAGGCCATTTTCCTGAGTCTTCCTCTCTGAGACATGACCAGGTGATATGTGTGTGCTTTAAAGTTCTGGCTCCCAGAAGGTAAACAGACGCTCTCTGACATAGAGATGGTTCAACTCTTGGTTCTTTTTGGTGGCATGAAAGTGACACATATTATGGAATAATCTTTTTGTACACTATGAAGATGTATCTTTGCCAAGGTACCTTCTGCTTGATTTAATAAAAGAGCTGACTGGCTGGTAGCTAGGCAAGTGGGAAGACACAGAGGATGCTGGGAAGAAGGGTGGAGTCAGAGGAGTTGCCAGTGAGACACAGAAAGGAAACGGGAGGTGCAAGATAAAAGAGGGGTAACTCCATGTGGCAGAATGTAGATGAATATAAATGGGTTAATTTAAGTTGTAAGAGTGAGCTAGTAACAAGACTGAGCCACTGGCCGAGCATTTATAATTAATATTAAGCCTCTTTGTGGTTATTTAGGAGCAGCTGCCAAGATACAGAAAAACTCTGCCTACAGACACACTTTTAGTAGAAACTATAGTTCAGATTTTGAATTTGGATATTTCCAAAGATTGTTAAGGGAAACAGCAGATGCCCTGTGTAGACAACATTGCTAAAGTGTGTAGTAGATGAAGTATATTCAATTCATTTTCCACTTACAATATTTCCAGCATAGGGTAGAACCAAACCCCAGTGTAAACTGGGGAGCAGCTGTAGTTAAATGATACAACCTGAAAAATAACTTTTTGAATTTAGACCACCTAGTCTATAGATATGTGTTTAAGTCAACCACAAACATCACATGATCACACATCTCACTTGCTAAAGTATTTACTCCAGGCACTCAGATTCTCAGTTATTTTAATTGTTCTTGTTGTTTTGTAAGGGTTAGAGAGTGCTTGCTACATAGTCCAGGCTGGCCTCAAACTTCTGATCCTCCTGCCTCTACCTAAAAGGCTGGAGCTGGGGTCATCCCCAAGTCTGAGGCCTGGGAAGTCTCAAATGATGTGAGGAAAGTCAATGGAAAAGAAAATTCCCCTTTTCATTAAATAAACAAACAAACAAACAAACAAACAAATAAATAAATAGATGTGACAGTGTTACAATCCCACACTGTGGTCTGAACCCAAGGCTGGCATCCTCAAACCAAACCACCAACTGTTTCAGCTGGGTCAAAGGCCACCACTGTTGTGCAACCTGGGACAGTTCAGCTGTTCACCTGATTACACGGCCTCACAACAGAAATTACGAGTGAGTAAAGCAAAATCTGGACTGACTCGTTACAGCCGCCCAAGTCAGACTGCAGGCCTATTATGTCGGGTATTTCACAACCTGTTCTGCTCTTCCAAAGCGTCAGGGCACGTGGAGGACGAGGCATGCAGACCGAGGCCAATGTGACCGATAACAGCAGCCTCAAGCAACTCCAAGCTGGAGAACTGCGCTTGTCACTCTTTGTCCATAAGCGGCGCTAGTCATTTAGTGTATATGAGGACATCAAGGTAAAAGCAGCGCAACAAAAACAGCCAAGACAACGTGCTGGTTACTACACACACTGTGTGTGTGTGTGTGTGTGTGTGTGTGTGTGTGTGTGTGTACACTGTGGAGCCCAAGTTGACGCTGGGTGTCTTCCTCCATCACTCTCTGCCTGGTGCACTGGAGCAGTGTCTCACTGAGCCCCGAGTCCAGGGATTCAGTCCGTCTACGCAGCCAGTTTGTTCCGGGGACCTCCTTTCTCTACTTCCTGTGCACTAGGGTTAGAGGCCGGCTGCCACACCCACCTGGCTTTTTCATGGCTGCTGGGATCTGAACCTTGATCCTTAGGCTTGCATGGCAAGCGCTTTACCCGCTGAGCCATCTGCCCAGCCCCTGTATGCTCATTTCTTTCCCTCTTGCATAGCCTTGTGGGACTGGGACCAGGAGCATCATAATGGGTAATGAATGGGTCTTGAAGGTATGGAGAGGGAGAATGGATTGCTCTAGTTTCCCAGTCCTCCAGAGCTTGTGTGTTGAGTCCCCAAATTTATGGTCCTGGTTTTTAGTTTAATTTTTTAGCCCCCCTCCCACCGTGTGTGTGTGTGTGTGTGTGT